GGATTACACTGAACCACTGTCAGTAGACCCAGCAGGGCTACAGATGGGTTTTGACAGAATAGACATTGACTCACTACTGAGTTATGCTTACCTGGTGGTAGATGCAAGAGTCCAAGTACTATAAAAGAATCGGAATAGAAGATATTGAACCCATTTGGATCATCAAATCACATTTTATCAGAGAAAGGAACACACTTTACAGCTCATAATGCCAAATAATGAGTAGTCAGAGAGATTCTTCTCAGAATAAGTTTCATAGAAAATTGGAACAAGCATTTGAAATACTCCTTGTTTAAAACAGGGGGAGATGGAGGCATGAAGGGTTGGTTAACGTGTTTTCAAGAGTTAAAAAAAAAAAAAAAAAAGAAGGTACAATCTGTTGGTAGGATATATACTAAGTTTTAAGTTGACCTTAAAATGCATTCCAATATACATCAGGTGCAGACAAATACTATTTGATTCCATCTACACAAGACACTTAGAATAGTCAAATTCATGGAGTCAGATAGTACTCTGGGAGACAGAAGGGGCTGGGGGGTAGAGGGTGGGGAGGGGGAACGGGGAGTTAGTATTTAATGGGGACGGAGTCTCAATTTAGGAAGGTAAAAAATTCAGGAGATGGATGATGGTGAGAGTTGCACAACAATGTGAATGCACTTGGTGCTACTAAACTGTATAATTAAATATGGTTAAAGTAGTATGTTTTACATTATGCAAATTTTACCACAACAAAAAAATTTTAATAAATTAAAACATTAAAAAAAGACACTCAACATAATAGGATCTAAGGCAGCATTGTTCCCACTAGATGGATTCCTCTGTTTTTCAGGGGAAGAGAGGGTGGTGAGAGGCTGCTGGTATGACTATACAATTTTTTTCATGAGAGAAAGATGATGGTCTGACTATATGATTCTTTCCAAGGAGAGAGGACCTTGGCATGATAAATATACTTTTTGTTTTCTTCTCCATATACTTCAACTTTCTCTTTCCAGTCTGATGCCCTGTGGTCACAGGACCAGGGATACGACTACAAGTGCCAGAAACAGGGATGATTTCTAGGCAAGAAATTGTAACTATAGTTTTACACCTTTATGTCAGAATTCCTAAAGGCCTGGCAGGGCAGGTAGTGCCTTCATTCTATTTGACAAAATCAAGGTTAACACTTGAAAGTATCTATTGCCTGGTGGTAAAAAAAAAAAAAAAAATAGCCCAGTAGTCATGCAGCTAAGTAATTCTACCCTATATGAATAGAAATGAACTGAAGGGGAGGCACTTACTACACTAGTATGTTGCCTGAAATCTAGAACAGCACAATTGCTAAATCTAAAGTTCCTTCCAAATGTGGAAAAGTTTAGGTATAAATAAATGGAGAGAAGGAAGAACAGTAGTTCAGGGTAAAGGAATGAATCAATGGGCTATGCAAACGAAGGAAATCTAATATCATATTACAATCTCAACAGAGGCTCAGAGCAAGGGAATACTACTATCTTTTAGCTCAATTGTGGGCTTCCCTGATGGCTCAGAAGGTAAAGAATCCGCCTGCAATGCAGGAGAGCTGGTTTCAATACCTGGGTTGGGAAGATCCCCTGGAGAAGGTAACTCACTCCAGTATTCTAGTCTGGAGAATTCCATGGAGAGAGGAGCCTGGGAGGCTACAGACCATGGGGTCACAAAGAGTCGGATTCAACTGAGCAACTTTCACTTTAGCTAATTTCAATTACACCAGATGCTTGAAAAGATGAAACCATGTATTGCTGAGACTACTTGTGCCTTTGGGACTTGACAAGACCAAATGGAAGCACACAAATCTGAGTGGTCTCACCCTTGTAGACATTTTCATATGATATGATGATGGACTAGACTAATTAATGACTGAATGTGACTCTAGTGATGTACCAGTATCTTTCGACTTATATGATGCTTTTGCTATAAGAGATTAGTGAGGGTGACAAAATATACATTTGGTCTTTGTCCCAGGTTCCTGATATGAAGTTCCTAGTTCAGTTGAGTTAAGTCACTCAGTCGTGTCTGTCTCTTTGGGACCCCTGGACTGCGGCACACCAGGCCCCCCTGTCCATCACCAACTCCCAGAGTTTACTCAAACTCATGTCCATTGAGTCGGTGATGCCATCCAACCATCTCATTCTCTGTCATCCCCTTCTCCTCCTGCCTTCAATCTTTCAGTCTTTTCAAATGAGTCAATTCTTCCCATCAGGTGGCCAAAGTATTGGAATTTCAGCTTCAGCATCAGTCCTTCTAATAAATATTCAGGACTGATTTTCTTTAGGATGGGTTGGTTGGATCTCCTAGCTGTCCACGGGACTCTCAAGAGCCTTCTCCAGCACCACAGTTCAAAAGCATCAATTCTTCCGTGCTCAGCTTTCTTTATAGTCCAACTATCACATCTGTACATGACTATTGGAAAACCATAGCTTTGACTAGATGGACCTTTGTTGGCAAAGTAACGTCTCTGTTTTTTAGTAGGCAGTCTAGGTTGGTCATAACTTTTCTTTCAAGGAGCAAGCGTCTTTTAATTTCATGGCTGCAGTCACCATCTGCAGTGATTTTGGAGCCCCCCCAAATAAATTCTCTCACTGTTTCCATTGTTTCCCATCTATTTGAAGTTCCTAAAACCCTTGGAATTCCCTGAGTGATAAGAATGTCTTTTGTTATTCATAACAAGCCCCTTTCAATAACACCTGAGTTTATGCTACTGAAGTAACTTAGGTTGCAGCCCCTAAATAGCCTAAGGATGGGTTGGTCACCAGAAACACCAAGTGATTGGAGGACTGGAACTTTCAACGTCACCCACCAACCTCCAGGAAGGGAACTGGAGATTGAGCTCTATAATGCTTTTGAACTGTAAGATTCACAGAGTGTCTGGTGATGACATCAAGCTGTTGAGAGGGTGGTTTGCCTAGAGAGGGCATGGAAGCTTTGCACTCCCCTCCCCATAGCTTGCCCTATGTACCTCTTCCATTTGGCTATTCCTGAGTTGTGTTCTTTATGATACACCAGTAATAGTATGTAAAGTGTTTTCCTAAGTTCTGTGAGTCATTCTAGCAAAGGATCAAACCTGAAGAGAGGGTGGTGTGGGAAATCCTAAATTTGTAGTCAAGTTCGACAGAAGGGCAGGTAACCTGGGGACCTAGAACTTTCAACTGAAGTCTGAGTGAGGGCAGTCTTGTGGGAGTGAGTTCTATGAGTTCTGTGATAATTCTATAAATTAGCATAAGAATTGAATTGAATTGTTGGATGACTAGTTAGTATCTAGAGAACTAGTGGAAAACATCCCAGACAAACTTTCTATCATGAACATGTATTACTTTAATAACAGAAAAGAGTAAAATAAACATGTTATTTTAAAAAATGAAATATGAAAAGACAACCAAGAGAATGGGAAAAGTATTTGCAAAGTGACCAACAAGAGATTAATCTCCAATATATACAAAAAGCTCATGCAGCTCAATATCAAAAAAGCAATTAATTCAATCAAAATAAGGGCTAAAGATCTAAGTAGACATTTCTCCAAAGAAGACATATAGATGACCAAAAAAGCACATGAAGAGATGCTCAACATCACTGATTATTAGAGAAATGCAAATCAAAACTACAATAAGGTACCACCTCACACTGGTCAGAATGGCCATTATCAAAAAACCTACAAACAATAAATGCTAGAGAGGGTGTGGAAAAAAGGGATACCTCTTACACTATTGGTGGGAATATAAATTGGTACAGTCAGTATGGAAAAGAGTAAGGAAGTTCCTCAAAAAAAACAAAAAATATAGCTACCATATGATATAGCAATCTCATTCTTGGGCATATACTCAGAGAAAACCATAAATTGTAAAGATACACGAAACCCAAAGTTCATTGCAGCACTATTTACAACAGTCAGGACATGGAAGCAAGCTAAATGACCATCACAGATGAATGAATAAAGAAGATATGGTGCATATATACAATGGAATATTACTCAGCCATAAAAAGGAATGAAATAATGTCATTTGCAACAACATGGATGGACCTGGAGATTGTCATACTGAGTGAAATAAGTCAGATAGAAAGACAAATATCATGTGATATCACTTACATGTGGAATCTTAAAAATGTTACAAATGAATTTATTTACAAATCAGAAATAGAGTCACAAACATAGAAAACAAACTTATGGTTACTGAGGGGGAAGGAGGGGAGGGATAAATTGGGAGATTGAGATTTACATATGCACACTACTATATATAAAATAGATAACTAATAAGAACCTACTGTTAGCACAGGGAACTCTACTAAATACTCTGCAATGACTTATATGGGAAAAGAATCTAAAAGAGTAGATATATATTTATATTTAACTGATTCACTTTGCTGTACAGCAGAAACTAACACAACATTGTAAATTAACTATACCCCAATAAAAGTAGTTTTTTTTTTCTTTTTTTTAATTTATTTTAATTGGAGGCTAATTACTTTACAATATTGTGGTGGTTTTTGCCATACATTCACATGAGTCAGCCATGGGTGTACATGTGTTCCCCATCCTGACCCTCCCTCCCGCCTCCCTCCCCATCCCAGCCCTCAGGGTCATCCCAGTGCACCAGCCCTGAGCACCCTGTCTCATGCATCGAATCTGGTGATCTATTTCACACATAATATACATGTTTCAATGCTATTCTCTCAAATCATCCCACCCTCGCCTTCTCCCACAGAGTCCAAAAGTCTGTTCTTTACATCTGTGTCTCTTTTGCTGTTATAGCCCAATAAAAGTAATTTTAAAAAATTTAAAAATGAAGTTATTATAGCTTGAACACTGAATAAACACCTTAACTTCTCAAAATCTGCTGATATCCTACAGCAAATTATTAAATGCAAATATTTGTAAAGTGAATAAAACTGAATTCCTCCCAGTTCAATCCACATATATAAGTTTTCTTGATTTCTTCTCCATACTGAGCCTCAACCATCTCTTTAGTTCTGGTCTGTACACTATGGCTCACCTCCTATGTCTTCATCCTCATTGGCTGGGCCTTCTGTACCATCCACATTTTCTGTTTCATGAGCTTTGGTTAAATCGTAGTCATTCAAAAGCTCTGAACCTTCTAGGAGATAAAAAGAATTTTAACTATGAAGTAACTTTAAAGGATTTTTATAAACCTGTATTAAGTAAGCCTCCCATTTCAGCTTTATCCAATCCCTAAGTGATAAACAATATCCTTTCACATATACCCAAGCAAGATATATATGAAATTTTAGAAATATGCCCAAGGTTTATTTGCCTTTCAATTAGACATCATTTTCTTGAATAGTTCTTTCACTTTAAATTCCACTCAGGTTCCTTCTGGATAGAAATTCTCTCTTCTTTGGTGTATTTCAGGATATTGAGTAAGATGTTAAGACTAAGAATATTAACATATAGTGATGAGAAACATTGAGCCTGAGACTACTGGCAAAACTCAATGTGGGAAAGATGCTTTCCTGAGAGGAAGCCTATAAGCTTCTGTATACCAAATTGTATTTTCCCTTTCTGTTCACATTATAAATATGATTTTGTGGAAAGCATATTGGCCTCCAAATTCTTTTATTTCTTCAAACATTTACTAAATGTTGACAAGGCTACAGATATGAATAGGTCATAATTCCTGTATTCAAAGAGCTGATAATTTACAGATGTAGATAAAACAAACCCACAAATACAATGCAAGATTCAGACAAGAGATAAGTCTAAAATGTAGACTCGGACAAGAGATTAAGGGAAATACAAAGTGCTATGGGAGTTCCTAAGTAAAAGGCAGTAGATATGATAAAAGTATGGTTAAATTAACAACAAACTTGCTAATAATTAAGTTTAACAAAAACACAATTTTTTACAATAAATATCGATAATAACAGAAGTAAGGAATAAGGCATAACATAGCTGGAATTTTTTCACATATAAGCACGGTAGTTTAATAAAAAAAATGATAACAAAAGAAATGAACAGAAAAGACCCACTTGCCATCCAACTCCTTCCCAATATTCAAAAAAAATTTGCTGAGGACCTACTATATGCAACAAATAGTCAAAAACACTGAATCCTGCAGCACTAAGGAGGGGTTGAGATAGGAGAGGAGATGGAAACTCTGCAGTGGCTTCCTTTCTGCTGCAAGCATGACTGAACATGTGGAACAGGACATTTTACTGGAATACAGGAGTAAAATGGAAACATATCACATAAGATACATGACTAAGAGGTCCTGAAAATGTAGTCGCCATGGATTCAGGTCAAGTTCTCATTTCTGCATATCATATACTCTTAGACACTAAGACACTGCTCTAAACAATAGTTTTCTTTTCTCAAGACTGAAATGATAGATATACAGTGCATGTCTGAACAACTGATATGAGGTACATGTTCAATTAAAACATAAGGTTACAAACTTAGAGTAAAATAAAGACACTTGTGTGATAAATTTTGTAATATAGCAAAAGCTTTGATTCAAACAAAGTGAGTATATCATTAGAGAAAACACAGAATTTATTTTTAGGAAATAGATTATTTTAAGTTTTTATAGTTTATTATGGAGCAAGGGTCAGCAAACCATGGCCTAAGGCCAAATCTAGCCATGCCCTGTTTTTATCAATATATAGACCCAGGAGGTAGGAATGGTTTTACAGTTTTAAAGATTGTAAAAAATATAAAGAATATACAACAGAGACCATATACGGCCCACAAATAAATATTTATTCTCCGGCTCTTTACAAAAAAAGTTTGCTGACCACTATTCCTGAGTGAAAAGCACAAGTTTTATAAGCTGTGATATTGTTCAACAAAAGCTGTCTTAATTCAGATGAGTCAGCTGAAAAAATTTTTAAAGAAAATTAAAAAAAACAGTGAAAAAATAAAAAATAAAAAAAAATTGGACGGGGTGGTTTGGCACTGTGATGTCAAATAACTTATATGATCTAAACAGATGCATTATTTTTTTTATCAGGAAGACACAACTTCATTTTTTCCACAACATATTTCCATAGCATTTTTATTGCAATCAGAATATTCCTCTTCATTTGAACTATTCAGTAAAGGTATATTTTTAGAGAGGAAAGACCTGATGTTGTTACCTGTGGGCACAGACTGCTCTTGAGTGCTCTTCAGTTCCACATTTGGTTTTATGTCTGAAACGAAAAGGATTATAAATATTAGCTTTTTAGAGTAAATTTTTTTCAGATTTGAGCATTCTAAATTTAATAAGGATACCACTTTGGAAGACTTAGTTGCTGATTTCCTCTTCAGAGCAGGACTATTCTCTACATCCTTCCCAAAAAGTGTCTCAAGGAGAATAAAAGAATCCATGCAGAAATTATATTTTAAAGAGATTAAGAGGAAAAAATTACTTTTCTGCATTTATTCTGGTTCTTTTTATTTTGTCATAAAGACCTGAGTTCCTATCTGGTATTGTCTCGCTTCAGTCTAAAGATCTTTCTTCAGCATATCTACTAATGCAACTGTATGAATGACTACTTTTCTCAACTTTCCATTTATTTGGAAATATCTTTATTTTGCCTTAAATTTTAAAAGGTATTTTTACTTGACATAGAATTACGGGTTGACAGTTTTCTTCTGTCACTTTAAAGATGGCATTCCACTATCTTCTTATCCTCTATTGTTTTTGATGAGAAGAAAATTTTCTATCATTGTTTTCCTTTATATATTCTTTTTCTATGAATGCTTTGAAGATTTTCTCCTTAGTTTTTAGCAGTTTAACTGCTATATGCCTAGGTGTGATTTTATCTGCATTTATCTCACATGGGTCCACTGAACTCCTTATCTGTAAGATTGTGTTTTTCACCAAACCTGATAATTTTTCAGCTATTATTTCTTCAAATTCTTTTTTTCCTCCATTCTTTTGCCCTTTTTATTCAAGGACTTCATCTACATGCATGTTAGATTTTTTCATATTCCTACATTTTCTTGAGGTCCTGTTCTTTTCCCCTTAAAGTTCTTTTCTCTGTTGCTCAGATTGAATACTTTCATGAATCTTCATTCATTTCAGTGAATCTTCATTATCCTTTCTTCTGTCATCTTAATGTACTATCAAGCCTATCCAGTGAGTTTTATATTTCAGATACTGTAATTTTTAGTTCTAGAATTCTACTTTGATCTTTTTTATAGTCTCTCTCTAGAGTAGGAAATGGCAACCCACTCCAGTAGTCTTGCCTGGAGAATCCCATGGACAGAGAAGCCTTGTGGGCTACAGTCCATGGGGTCGCAAAAAGTCGGACACGATTGTGTGACTGAGCACACTACACATAGTCTCTCTGCTAGATTTCCTATTTGTTAATTCATTACAAGCACATTTTCCTTTGCATCTGAGTATAATTACTACACTTGTTTAAGAACCTTGTCCTCAGAGACCAGGTGGTTGTTTTGCAGAACTGTCCCTCAACTGGATTTGCCCGTTTCCTCTGAAACGGAGAGAAAGAACTTCTTGGATATGTGTAACACACCGACTTACTGTGACCTAGGAAAGGCTGCCAAAGATGTCTTCAACAAAGGATATGGATTTGGCATGGTCAAAATAGATCTGAGAACCAAGTCATGTAGTGGAGTGGAATTTTCTACTTCTGGTCATGCTTACACTGATACAGGGAAAGCATCAGGCAACCTAGAGACCAAATACAAGATTTGTAACTATGGGCTGACCTTCACCCAGAAGTGGAACACAGACAATACTCTTGGGACAGAAATCTCTTGGGAGAATAAGTTGGCTGAAGGGTTGAAACTGACTCTTGATACCATATTTGTACCGAACACAGGAAAGAAGAGTGGGAAATTGAAGGCCTCATATAAACGGGATTGTTTCAGTCTTGGCAGCAATGTTGATATAGATTTTTCAGGACCAACCATCTATGGCTGGGCTGTGTTGGCCTTTGAAGGTTGGCTTGCTGGCTATCAGATGAGTTTTGACACAGCCAAATCCAAACTGTCACAGAATAATTTCGCCCTGGGTTACAAGGCTGCAGACTTCCAGCTGCACACTCATGTGAATGATGGCACTGAGTTTGGAGGGTCAATCTACCAGAAGGTGAATGAGAAGATTGAAACGTCGATAAACCTCGCGTGGACAGCCGGCAGTAACAACACCCGCTTCGGCATCGCTGCTAAGTACAAGCTGGACTGTAGAACTTCTGTCTCTGCTAAAGTAAATAATGCCAGCCTGATTGGACTGGGTTATACTCAGACCCTTCGACCAGGAGTGAAACTGACCCTGTCAGCTCTAATCGATGGAAAGAACTTCAATGCAGGAGGGCACAAGGTCGGTCTGGGATTTGAACTAGAAGCTTAATGTGGTTTTGAATAAAGCATCAGCTTTGTCCCTGGAGGTGAAGAGAAATGAACCCACTATGTTTTGGCCTTAAAATTCTTCTGTGAAATTTCAAAAGTGTGAACTTTTTATTCTTCCAAAGAATTGTACTCCTCCCCACACTGAAGCTTAGGTACCGAGTCCATCCTAAGGGAGGTGCTTGAAGGCATGCCCGGAAGTTGTCACGTTTGTGCCACATTTCAGTTCAGTTCCACAGTGTTTTTTTCAATGTGTTCCTCTGCGACGGTGTAGTGTCATGTTCAAAGGAGACAACCCGACCCTCCAGTTGTCCATCACGTCCTGCATGTCCCACACCACTTTTTCATGACCTTGTAATATATTGGTCTCTGTATGGTAGTAGCATCTTTGATTTTGCATCAGAGTAAAATAAAATAAACCCATCACATTTGGAACATAAAAAAAAAAAAAAAGAACCTTGTCCTCCAATTCTAGTATCTATATCATTTTGGGGTTAGTCACCTATGACTTCCTTTTCTCTTGAGTATGGGTCACATTTTCCTGCTTATTCAAATAACCTAAGAATTCTGGATTGTACCCTGAAAATTATAAAGATATGTTACAGAATTTCTGGAGTCTGTTATGTTCCTTTGAAGGATATAGGAGATTTTCTTTATTTTACTTTTTAAAGCATGTAGTTAAACTCATATTCTGTTTCATTTGTGGTGGGAAGCGTCTAGGGTAATCAGTTGTCCCAGTATACCAGGGATTGAAGGTTTTCCAAGACTACAGAACTTTCACAGCCTCAGGAAAACTGGCACAAGTTGGTCACTCTTGCAGAAGCGTAAATCTCCGTTCAGTTACTTTCACCTCAGATGGACTGCGAAGAGTGTGACCCATACAAGTATAGTTCAAGGATTAGCTAAAGATTTGGTCCAGCTAGAGCATTTATACACAAAAGGCCCTATCTACCCTCTCCACTCTAGGATTTCCCCGTTTGTTTCCTATGATTGCTTGTGATTGCTATGTTTTTTAAACAAGTAAAACTGTGGATTATTATTCAAGTTTTGGTCACCCAGATGCTAAAACTGGGACCTGCCTTTAAGCAAAACAACCTTAAAGACAGGTTGGTTTTGATTATTTTCCAATGCCTGCATGTAATAGATTTTTCATATTTTGTCCAGAACTATAACTGTTATCTGCTGGAAGGTTGGTTCAACAGGACCAACCTCCTCTACTACTAGAATTCTCCATTTGTTCTTTATTTCAATGGTCATTTGGGATCATATACCCATAACTGCTCCAGATACCACTGATTTCAAATAATCTATATTTCAGACGTATTTCAATTTTTGTTTTGAAAAATACAGTCACTGCACTTACATTCTATCCTAATATTAAAAGTTTAACACACCACCCATTAGATGTTAGCAGCAAAGCCTAAGTGCAGGAAGAATACAAATACTTTTAAAATAAGCAAGCATTAGTCAGTCAGTCAGTCATGGCTGACTCTTTACGACCCCATGGACTGTAGCTCACTAGGCTCCTGTGTCCATGGAATTCTTCAGGCAAGAATACTGGAGTGGGTTGCTTTCCTACTCGAGGGGATCTTCCTAGCCAGGGATTGAACCCAGGTCTCTTGCACTGCAGACAGATTCTTTACCATCTGAGCCACCAGGGAAGCCTTTTGTAAAATAAGCAAAGGGGCAGCCTAATATGTAGTGTTAAAACCCAAGATGGGTGAAAGAAACGTCCATACAAGGAATAGGGACAGGCCAGGGTAGGCTGTTGGAGACCAACCAGTATGAAAAGTGTGCCTGTGTGGGGTGCACATTTAGCGTGAGATGAGGAGGGATTCTACATGAAGAGCAGACAGATTGGCAAGTCAGAGCCTAAGCAGGATGAGAAGGGCAGGAGAATTACCTAGGCTGGAGTGATGAAGAAAGTATCCAAGTAAGGGATGACCTAGCACGAGGAGTCAGAGCCTGAGCATAGAGAAGAGGCCATCTATGCCTGGGGGTGCCCTCATTTCAGGGAGTAGACAGGGTGAGCAAGGCACCCACATAGGGACAGTGGGGGCGCCAAAGAGCCCAAATGGAGTGAGGAGTTTCTCTGGAGGTACCCAAGGCAAAGTGTCAGAACTTGACTGGGATGAAGAAGGCATCCACACATTAAGGGCAGCTCTGCTTAGTTGCTCAGTTGTGTCTGACTCTGCGACCCCACAGACTGCAGCCCACCAGGCTCTTCTGCCCATGGGGATTCTCCAGGCAAGAATACTGGAGTGGATTGCCATGCCCTCCTCCAGGGGATCTTTCCAACTCAGGTCTCCTGCATTGCAGGCGGATTCTTTACCGTCTGAGCCACCAGGGAAGCCCCAGAATACTGGAATGATTAGCCTATCCCTTCGTCAGGGGATCTTTCTGACCCAGGAATCGAACCAGGTTTCCTGCATTGCAGGTAGATTTTTTACCAGTTGAGCTTTCTGGGAAGCCCATCAGACCCCAATAGTTGAAAAGGGTATCCACGTAGATCAGTGCCTGCAGTACAGGATGTCAGAAACCAAATGGGGCAAGGTAAGAATCTTCACTGAAGAGGAAATGGTAGTGGCAGTGAATGACTGTTTATACAAAGAAGGATTGATCAAGTAAGAAAAATATAATGAGGATCATGAGACCGAGGTTTTTCTCTGTCAGAGAAGGGAGTTTTAAACATGGAAACCTGTGGTCCTATATTGGAAATGGAAGTACTGGCAGGAACACATGGCTTCTACTATATATAAATTGATACAAAATATAGATGGAAATGTGTGTATATGTATGGTATAACACACATGGTCTCTAGCTCTGTCCACTGAGAGCCCCTGGGAGCAGAGACACCACAACAGCTTTCAGGATATGGACATTAACTTCGAAGTATCATTCTCAACGCATAGAAACCATATTCCTTGGAGAAATGGCTGACTCCAGCACTGGGGGAGGGAAAGTACAGATGAGACTGAAACATTTTGTTGTGTCAGAAAGCAAGGAAGTGCTCACAGAAACAAGAGCATATATTAAAAGGATATGGAAATTATTTTGAAGGGGTTCCCACTGGCCAAATCTGAGACAAGGGAGCATCAAAATTACAATGATAGTATTGGATTATAACCTATTAAAAAACATAAATTCATGTGTCCATATTGACATTAATAAGTAGTTGATAAATTTAAAGTCCAGTAACAAATGGAAAATTTAAGTAGTTTCAAAATGCATCTTCTCAAAATATTATTACAAAGATGAAAAGAGAAACTATATAGTGAAGAACCTTGTAGACACCACTGTACTGAGTAAAGTAATCATTATTGGTAATTAGACAAATGAAAATTATGTGTCTACTGATAATGAAAAGAACACAGCTTCACCTCTGTGATATACCTGCCAGACATGCACAATCTAAATCTAACCATGAGAAAACTAACTCTAATTGAGGGACAATTTACAAAATAACTGGCTTGTAATTCTCAAAAGTGTCAAAGTCATGACCAACTGAGGAACTACTCCAGACTGAAGGACAGGGAAGAGACGTGATAACTAAATGCATATGTGATTCTGAGCCAAATTCTCCTGAGGTAAAGGGCATTATAGGAGCTACTGGAGAAATCTGAGTGGGGTCTGAGGATTAAATTGTAGTAATGTATCAGCGTTAATTTCCTGATTTTGATAGTTATTTCCTGGTTATGTAGGAGAAGGTAGAACACACACTAAAGTAGTCAAGGGTGGATAGGGCTTTATGTCAGCAACTTAATCTCAAAATTTCCGGAAAAAAAAAATAGTTTTTTGTACTGTATTGCAACTTTTCTGTAAGTTTGATAGTGGGAGTTTTTTTAAAGCTTTTTTTTTCTTCTTTTTTCAGCTAACTGTGAAACTTTTAACTGCACACTAAAGGGATTCTGAACAAAAAAAAAAGAAAGAAAAGTAGCTCAAACGTTTCACACGAACAATCTTCATGTGAAAACACCTTTTAGTTATTACAGAGCAAGATGGCTTTTGATTTGGTGACCTAAAGAAAAAAGGTCCTAGTCCCCTGAACCTTTTAAACTCTCTGACAGTGACATTTAAATAGCTCTCAATACTTTTTCAAGCAGCCTTTGTGTGGTGTAAATAACACCAGAAGGAACTGAGTACAGTTTCCAAGAGAAAGGAGATTTGACTATCTGAGTTTTCAAAATTTGAAGGAGACATTTAAACCATCTAAGACTTCCCTGGAAGTCCAGTGGTTAAGACTCATGTTTCCACTGCAGGGGACACAGGTTCAATCCCTGGTCAGGGAACTAAGATCCCAGATGCTGTGGCACAGCCAAAAAGAAAAAAGAAAACCATCTATAATCAGGCTACATGGATGTTCTTCTTAGGTGCTAAAAAATACTTAAAATACAGGAACAAAGCAGACTGAAGTGCATTTTCCCTTCTTGAATGTAAACATCTTTATAAAAATGTGAAGTCTAGTAGTGAATAGATAATAAAGGAATTCCCACCTGAAGACCAGAAACCTATTAAATATTTATAAGTGCAGCAAAAGTTTTACAGTTTTTAATGGATAATTTTGTAATTCCTTCATACTTCAGTCCAAAAAAGACTTCCAAAAATTACCATAGTGGGGTCCACTTGGGTATTTTTAATATGTTGGCAGTCAACATAGTTTTAAACTATTTTTCAAAAAAAAGTGCTCTAGAAAGCTAAGAAGGAAAGGTCCCTATACTTCTTTTGACAAAAATATTAATTCCCTTTACTGATATTAATATATATGGTGCAAATGATGGAAGAATTCCAAAGTGGATTAATTTTGTTGAAATTTAATTCCTGTCAATTTTCTACATCTCTCCTATCATTTGAATTGGGTAAAGCATGTTCCTGCCTCAGGACTTTTGCTTTTACTCTTCCCTCTGACCAAAATGCTCTTCTCTCAGATAGCTACCTGCCCTACCTCCTTTCTTCATTCAGGTGTGTGCTCAAAAGTCACCTTATCAAACGAGCTTTACCTAACTA